CCAATCCCATGCTATACACGCCAGCTACCATCCAGCAACAGACTTGAGAAGACATGGTAACATTGTAAAGCAAGGGGTTACAGATGGCAACATAGCGGTCATATGCCATTGCAGCCAGCATGTGACACTCTGAGATAGCAAAAACCAAAAAGAAGTAGAGTTGAGTCATACATTCAGGGTAGGAGATGACATTTTTCTTCACCAAAAAGTTGATCAGCATCTTGGGGGTAATGACAGTGGAATGGCAGAGGTCAATGAAGGACAGACTGCTGAGGAGATAGTACATGGGGGTGTGCAGGTGAGAACTGAGCCTGATCAGGGTGATCATACTCAAGTTCCCCACCACTGTGAACACATAGATTCCCAGGAAGAAGTGGAAGAGGAGAAGCTGGAGCTCTGGTTTCTCTGTTAACCCAGAAAGAGTAAACTCAATCACATTAGAATGATTTCCTTTTGTCATTTCTTTCTGAAAAATCTATGAGAAGGAAAGAAAATTTTGAAATGGGTATTTATTGTCTGAACAAGAAATGTGAGATAGAATTTTATTCTATTCATCCAGGTATCTCTAGTTCTCTGCAACTTTTCACCTAAATATGTCAACAGCCTTGAGATTTCAAAGAGATGTGTAAATATATAGGACGTAGAACTCTCTGTTTTTTGTTTCAATCTGTAAGAGTGCTTATTGATATCCACCTCATGAATACTGAAAAAATACTTTCTACTAACTGCTTTGAGGTGTTCCACGAAATGTATCTGATTACTTATAATTTTCTCAACTATCTTGGAGAAAGAAATCATTTTTTATTAAAATAGCAGCACACACACAAATACATACGCGTGCATGCACACATGCACACACACAGGGACAGTCATTGTCACACATAATGGTAAAAGACAAAAGATTTTCCCCTAGGCTACTAAAAAATACAAGTTTTCCCACTCCCTATTTTCATTCCACAGTATACCAAAGAACCTCGCTAGAAAAATCAGGCAAGAAAATTGAACAAAAACATCCATATTGGAAATGAATAATTCGTTATTGTTTCATTCTGCAGAAATGACAGAGAACGAGTCTAAGAGACTCTATGCCACAATACTAGTGGAACTCAAATTAAGCACCATGGTAAAATGTAAGGTTGGATACAAAATCAACTGTATTTTTATATATTTGCAATGAATAATAAAAAATCCATTAAAATAGCATGAATGGATGTAATACTTAGGAATAAATTTAAAATGGAAAAGGAAGCTATCTCACATGCAGTGCAATTACAAAACATTTTTAACAGTATTAAAGTCTTTCATTCATGCAAAGGTATCTCTTCATTAATCAAAAGAATCAATATTGTGAAAATGGAAATATCTCCAAATTGATGTAGAAATTCAGTTTAACACCTATCAAAATCTCCACTCTGATATTTTCATATATTGACAGGATGATCCTAAAATCTCTGTAAAAAAAGGATCCTTAAGTAATCAAAGCAAACCTGTAAGGTAAATATCAAGTTTGAAGTGTCACATTTTCTTATCTATAAATTTAATACAAATTTACAGTGAACAAAGTGTGGGATTGTTACAAGTATACACATACAGATCAATGGTATGAAGGTAATAGTCAAAAAATTAACTCATGTCCATGATGAACTCAATTGTTTAAAGTACTTAATGATAATTCAGTGGAAAAATTATAATTTTCTCAACAAATTGGTGCTGAGATGGACAACTGTCAGTACCAGTATAAAAATTAATTCAGAATGTTTTCTCACACCATCCCCAGTAATTTACTCAAACTGGAGCAAACAAATGAACAAAAAATTGAACACTCTAAAAACAACAGGAGAAAAACTATACAATTAAATGTGTGTAGCCTTAGATTTGAGGTTATTTCATGGATGAGATACCCAAAGCAGAAGCTAAACTTAGAAAAAATAGTAAAAATACACATTGTGAAAAAAATTTGAAAATTGTGTTGTAAAGAACTTCATGCAGAAAGGTAAAAGCAATACACAAAGCCAAAAAAAAATTCAAATAATTTAACTGTATTCAGAATGCATTTTAAAACACTTTAAAGCATAAGTAGCCCAGTTTAAAAATGATCCAGTATCTGAATAAACATTCTTATGCTTGGGATACATAAATTATCAATATAAATGAAAATACTTTTATCAAGGACATACTTTCAGGCTGTGCAAGTACCCTACATAAGAAAATAATATTTAAATAAAATTTAAATTTAATAATAAAATATTTTACAGTGTATATAAACACAAAATTACAACAAATTTTATAGTGACAACACAAGCAAAATATTTACTAGGGGCATTCAAAATATGGAAATAAATAGTGTAGAATTCCCACATCTTAGAATTTTGCAATCTAGAAGGGGACAGGGGGCAGAGTAGATAATGAGAAAAATAGGTCCTAGGAGCAGAACTATTACGGTGTTAGTGCAGAATGAGGATCAATGCAACCTGTTGAAAAGAAAGGAAATGAATTTTTTTCATGACATTACAAGTATCATGTAACATAGCTGATCTGCAAAAGCACATTTGTTAGACACTAAACTGTAACTCATAATATTCATGTAGTTTCTTCCTCCTAATAGCTTATCCCATAAAATCCTATTTGCTAGAGTCCTTTAAGGTCTCTGATACTAAAATTCCAGATAATAAGTCTATTTTCTATTGGCACATAAACATGTTACTTATGTTCAATGGTGACACATACTTATTTGGTGTTTTATGAGTCACTTACTAGATTTTCTCCCACAATAACTTGTAAAGTCAACACAGTGCTGGCACAGTGTTTTCCATAGTGCAAGTCTCAACAAGGCACTTGACAAAAATGTTGGAAGACACTTAGAAATCAGTTAATACAGACAAAGAGTCCCTGAATAAAGCCCTCACCTCCTTTGGTAAGGTTAAAAAAAGAAGACAGAGAGATGCTGTGGAAGACAGAGAGATGATAACATAGTCTATCCTCATCAGGAAGTGTGACTCTTAGGACGAGGACTAGGAGAGACAAACCAATGACTGTCTGCGTCTCTGGTAACACTGTGCAAGAAATGCAGGAAAAAAGTCTAGAATTTTACAAGTCAAGGACAGGGATCCAGACATACCCCTTCTGCTTCCCAGAGAGTTTTAGACTGTTCTTCATTGCTCTAAAAGGAAAATTAATTTTGATAATGAGAGCCTGTGGTCACCTGAAAGTATTGCTTGAGTCACTAATCCCATCTGATGAAACTGCTGCCTGAACCATTTGGCCTTATGCAAAGGTAGGTTGATAGGACAATTTCATCTACTGGGTATAGGAGTCTGGTTAGGAGAAATAATGATAATCATCTCCCATTAGAATCTACCCCCATATCTATCAACTCTGGGGAAAAGAAACAATTATGCATTTCTCTTTATCCCCATTGGTTCTCAAGTTTTGAATACGGTCACATATGTGTAATTCAGTTCTTGTTAAAATAGGATTTAAAAAAAGAATGTGAGCAATACCAGAACTCCAGTGAGTTTCATTTTCAGACCTTAACATTCAAAATTTCAGGAAAATTTGAAGAATTTAAAAGAATACCCTAAAGTGGTGTCTCAAAGGGAAAAATACTAAGGGGAATGAATTGAGGTCATTGAAGTTTATGTTTTCATTGATTCTGTTAATTTTTCTTAAATTAATATATTTTCTTAAATTACTACTTCTTGGAACATTTTAATTTGTTCACGGAATAAAAGCAGCTTTCACTGAGCCCCTATATGAATTCTTTTTTATTTTTATTTATTATTTTATTCATGTCAATCTCTTTTAGATATTACTAGTGACCTGTGAGGACTACCAAAGAGAATTATGGAGAGAGGAGGATTGTTTCTCTTCTAAAAATAAAAGAGAAATATTGAGGGCAGTGAGAACTTATATGTCATAAAAATTTTTTATATTCAATAGTAACTAAATGTCATATAACTTGGAGATATTATTGCAATACATTTTCTTAGCTAAATATTCTTTGGAGTAGATGAAATTCTTTTAAATTTAGACCTTTATCTGATTCATAAAGCTACTTTTGCAATTAGCTGCAGACATCCTTTTAAGTTTTGCTAGGATTATAAATGTCAACATACATTAACTGTACAATTTAATGAGTTTCACTGTGGTATTTTATATTAGCAATTGGGCAGCTTTGATTACTTTTCTCAAACCTTTTCTTTATTTTGTGGGTTCCCTTTCTCAACCAGCCCTTACTCCCTTTTAGACAATAGCAGTCCTTCTTCTACTTTCAGGTCATCTTTTTTTCCATAGATGACAGAAAACATGTAATATTTGTCTTTATTATATCAGGGGAGATCCAGTGACCTAGTTTATATCTTCTACTTGTAAATATCTAGTTTTCCCAGCACTGTTTCATCAAGAACCTTACATTTCCCTCAGTGAAGGGAGAGAAGTTCTAGGTCTTGGGAGTTAGTTCTAGGTCTTGTATTCAGCTCCCTTGGTCAATAGGCCTAATTTTATGCAAATATCTGAGATTTTAGTTACTATGGCTTCATAGTGGGTGTTGATATCAGATACTGTGATGTTTCCAGCATTGTTATTTTTTGGAAAATAGAGGTGATAACATCATCTCAAAGCTGCAAAGCAAAGAGGGTCGCCTAAGTGTAATTAAAACTTTATGGAATATAACCATATGTCTCCATTAGAGTTAGTATCTTCAACATACTGTCATTGCCTTGTGGGTAGGACCAGTCTTATCATGTATTACAGGACCACATATTACCTAATACAGCTTTACACATTTAGTAATATCAGGGGTTATATTTTTATGTATTCAAAAAAGGTAAAAGTTATTTTTTTTATAAATCATAATTTCAGAAATGTTTGGAAATATACTTAGTATAAAACCTAAGTACACACAAACTGAGAAGATAAGATGCTAAGCAAATATATTTATTTAGTGAATAAAGATAGAAAAGTATTGCATTAAAAGAGGAATGTTCAATAGGTATAAAGCATAATTAATCATATGGAGGAATTTAAAGGTCTTAAGATTGTACAGATAATTATTAACAAGTAAAAAAATAAAAAGAAGAGATATACAATTAAAGAAAGGTTTATAACTTGCTTTTAAATATATGTTCACAGTTGTGGATGATTATAAGATAGTAATGCACTATGATTATTTTTAAAACATGAAATATTCCAGGAGTGATTAGACGTGCCTCTAACCCAAGCAATAAGGCGTTTATGATAGGACGATCATTGGTAGTTCGAGGCCAGCCTGAGCTATATAATGAGTTCAAGCCAGCCAGAACTACATAGCGATACCCTGTCTCAAAAAAAAGAGAAAGAAATGAAGGCAACAGAAAAGAAAAAAAAAGAAAAAATTCATAGTGAAAACTTATGTAGTGGTAATAGAAATAACTTTGAACAGGAAGATTGTGGGCTATCTCACAACTGTTTCTTCCATATGTACCT